ATAGATAGATAGATAGATAGATAGATAGATAGATAGATAGATAGATACCCTGTCTCTTTGTTACCTCAATCACTTTTGCAAATCACATTTTGCAAAAATAATATACAATCAAAGTGATAGTAAAGATTGAGTCAAGTAATGGGAAGAGTCAGATATAATGTTCTCGACACAGCAAAGTCCAAGCAGGCAGCATTCATTCAGCCTACAAAATTATATTCGCCTCATGTATAAACATATGTAGATAAATCACTATATGCAGGTGAGACAGTCTGATGTGTTTTACCCATCTGACTCCACACATGTCTCTGGTTAATTCCAAATGTTTGCTTTTTAAACATGTATTTATTGAGATTTTGTTATCTAAACTGAACAAAAACAATAGAACCAGGCACATTACATAAAATGGGAAGGCACTAAGGATCAAAATAAAGTCTGTAGCATCCAAAGACATGAATCTGAATGAGTGTGCATTCACACTTATTACGTACAGCAGTAATTTGTCATGTAGCCATACGGCCCATATCACACTACCAACAAGGGTATATCTCCTACCTTAAAATTGGAATAAAGATAAAATAAAAATAATAAATAAACGAATAAATAAAAATGAAATAATAAAAAAAATAATTACATTAAATTACATTTAAAATACACATGTATCCCAACTTGATATCAATACAACCATACACATCCATGTTGTTATTTTTAGGGAAATTATAGAAAACATTCTATACTTTCCACAACTTGTCAAGCTCTTTTTTTGTTATGTAACTTAAGTAAAAAAAATCATTCCACTCAACCATACTGTGACTGTGTGTTTCTGAGTCCCAAACAACAACTATACACCGTTTGGCTTCTAAAAAACAAATATTCAATAAAGACCTGATTCTTTCAGAGGTTATAAATCCGTCTGTGTAGATATTTAATAAACACAATTTAAGACCTCGGGGATGATCCTCACCAAGGATCTGGCTCGCCTGATCCAACACTTGCTCCAGGATTATAGTATCAGTGGACATTCCCTCAAAGTTTTGCATAGTGACTTTTAAGATTAAAAATAGGATATAGTCTGTCAATGAACGCGTGAACAAATCAGAGCTCTCAGTTTTAAAAGGATGTATTTCTATTATCACCATAATTTGTGGTATGTTTTTTAGTTCTGATAGCCCCCCTTTGCATCCAGAATCTTTTCTTTGGTTCTTGATTCCAATTTTAAGCTTAAGACATGGTGAGTATACAGTCTTGTGCCAATAACAAGGATGCTGCATGGATGCCTCTTTATGCTGCTTCATTGGTTAAGTTATTTAAGAGAGGTAATTATGTTTACCAGGGTTCGATGTGCAGAGCACTTTACAGCTTCCAAAACTTTGTTCCATCTCTCTCTCTGGCATGAATATGACTGATACCATATCATTTTGCACAGTTTATAAGAATGGTTGCTACTTTGCCACCTACTGTAAAAAAAGGAGCAGACAAATTTAAACATTTGTAATAGGTTTGGTCAATGGACTGAATTACTGATGTACGTGTGCAGGGTCATGTTGGGGTATATAGGTGAGGTCAGATTAGGAATAATAACAAAAAAAGGTGTCCTGGGCCATTCTCTCAGGCCACCCAGGTCTCGACAGCACGTTTGTTAATTTACTTAGATGTGAACAAAAAAAAATGACCCTGCTTGGCCTTTGCTGTTCCCTGAGGCCCTTAAATATGTGTTGTCTCCTGATTCCAGAAGATGGCAGCAACGCTCACGGTGCACAAACCAAGAAGAGGAAGGAGAAGAAGAACAACAACAACAAAACGAAGAAGAAGAAGAAGAAGAAGAAGAAGCGCTGTAGGGACGGTTGATGTTTAATGACACCGTTGCTTAATGCTCTGCCTTTAACTTGTGGTTTCTCTCAACATTTGAACTCTTTGATAAGATTATCTGCTCAGTTTGGGTCAAGTGTGCTTCTGTCAGTGAGTAACAGCTCCTTTTTTTCTATGTTACGATGCAAAATTCTTGGTGGAATAATTCAGCCTGGATTATCCCCTGTTTTTGTTAACAGATCTATAGAAAGTGCCTTTTCCTGTGCTATTATTTCTTGCGTCGAAATCGCATTGTTCTTCTCAGCAATTTCTTGTTGACACATTTTAAAACTAATTTGGGTTGGAGGCTAATACGTAGACTAACTGTCGAAGGCCTGGCAGCGTAATGGACCTTATGTGGCTGGTTTTGATTAGTTAGCTGCCAGAGCTAACATAGCTATATAAAACCACGTCTGAGACTAAGACTACTTTTGTTTAACGGGGTAAAAACAGTGACGTTAAAGGTTTCCTATGGGTTCAGACTTGCTATATTTGTTTCTAAATACTCGATATTTTCTTATTTCTCTTTTCAAAATCCACAGAGTACCGTTAGTTAATGGGCTTTAAGTCAACTCCGACATTAACCAATTAGTACATTCCAAAAGCTTCCGTAAATACTACAAATACGTCGTAAGTAAGGTATTAGATTGGTACAAATCTGCCATTTCATTTTTTCAAATACATTTCAAATGAGTTATTCGCTATTATTTTTAAAGCGGTAATTTGTCCACTTGCTCTTTTAAAAAGTGGCAAAAAGCAACCTTACAATGATGTTCGGCTAAATTGAAAGGGTTTTGAAATGGTAAAAATACTTAAATGTATGGAACACTCAGTCATGCTTTTGAAAAAATAAATCCTGTTCTGTTGGTTATTTTTAACTAAACAAATCATTATGGTGCTCAAGAAATGTATTGAACGAACCTTTATAAAAAAAAGAAAATATATTCATGCAATTTTGAGGTGTGGTATCTGTATCGGTTTACTTTCCTGGCTCATTTAGCAATAATCTTTCTGCCATAGACTCCAATAGCATACTGACCCACATTTAGTCTCAGACACCACCATCAGGAGGTGCTTTAATTCTTAGTTTAAGCAATGTTTTTTTTTCAATCTAAATATTTTTTTAATTATTGGACTAATCAGGATTTCAAATTTAATTTCCCCTTTTTAGGACTTCTCTCAGAAGTTAGAAATGCATTAAGCATAACATTCAATTGCTCAATCTGTCATGCAAAGAGGAAACAAAACAAAACAAAAAATAACATGCTCCCATTCACTCCTAAAGTCAATTCATGGGGGACTTTCCATCAGTACCTAGTCAGCTTTATTTGACTGTACTTGCCTTGAAACAACCCAGTTTTTTTGTGGTTTTCCATTACAAATGAGGTCCTAACAGTTGCAGCTATTGGCAGTAGCAGCTCTCAAAGTTCTGCTACCCCCTTCCACATAAGAGTTTTTACGTACTCCCTATGTGACAACAAGAGATGTAAAACCAGAACAGATTTAATTCCGGTATGTATTTATATTATCAAATATTGATATGTCATTAGAAAATTTACAGTGACCAACAAATAAATAGGTCTTACCAGTTCTATCTCCACAGCAAACAAGAACTCTTAGCTTTCTGAAATTCAAAGTACTCTCATGTACTATCTCTTAATACATTTGTATCAGTTATACAAAAATTTGAGATTTGATAGAAATCGTCCTCCACATCCGCAACTTGACGTGTAAAATATAATTTAGTAGTTATACCTTTATAATGATGACAGTGTATGAAGATGGTAGAGATTTTTAAAAAGTACATAAGTAAACGTTCTGGCTGCCTGTCTGATGCCTCCTATATGCTCTCTCTGTAGGTCTGTAGGTGATGCATATGCAAGTCCCCTCACATATACGTCTGAATATTCAAGCCCATTTGTACCCTCCAAAGTCCTTAATCATGATTCGGCTCGATAACTGAAAAAAAACTCGCTTTTCGAAACCCTCTGCAGGAGACTGCCATGCTTGTGTTAAAATCAGAAACTGATACAGGAATTTGGGAAAGCGCATAAGATTAAAGGAGCCAAGCGCTTGTGTTAAAAGAAAAAAAAAAAAAAGAGCCATCCTGTCGGTAGGTTGGCGGCAGCTTTTGGCAGCCACGCCCGTAGAATGACCAGCCTGTTTAGGCGCAGCAGCAATGGAGGCTCTCGAAGCAATGGAAGCGGAGGCGGGGGCAACGGCACCCAGGGCCAGCTCAACAACAGCCGGCCCAACCGGCAGGTCAGACGGCTGGAGTTCAACCAGGCCATGGAGGACTTCAAGACCATGTTTCCCTCCATGGACTACGAGGTGATCGAGTGCGTGCTGCGCTCAAACAACGGCGCCGTGGACGCCACCATCGACCAGCTGCTCCAGATGAGCATCGATGGCCACGGCTCGGACGACAGCTCCGACTCCGATGACAGCATCCCAGCAGAGGTCAGTGGGTCCAGACGCAGCTGGACTTTTAGTCACGTATATGATGGGAACAAGAGCCTCCATTTCGGCGATTACAAATGCTGTCACTGATTGACGAAAAACCAAAAAAACAACAACTAATGGCTTCATTGGAAGAAAAAAAAAACAGACAATGTGGTTGCTAGGTAACTACATCATTCACCTTCATATGATGTGCCATTACAGAAAATTTACACAATGTCACATTTTATATTTCCGTTTCATCTACAATAATGTTTAATTCAATTTGCAAATGGATGGGAGTTTGTTATAACTTAAAAGTCTCCACTCAGTGGGGTATCTCAAAATCTGAATGGGTTAAGGGGGCCATCATATTAAATTATGACCTTGGATAAATAGTTCAACTTAAAATAAAATTCCTGCGTTTCTTTTGATAGATCCTGGAACGAACTCTGGAGCCTGATAGTTCCGATGAAGAACCGCCTCCAGTGTACTCTCCTCCAACATATGATATGCACATTTACGACAGGAAGTACCCAGAGGAGCCCCCACCAACGCCACCACCACGGTAACCAGGTTTTTGTAACTTGTTTTCGATTCTAATGACTTAGTTCTAACAAATTAAACATTTTAATTTTGGAACTGATATGAAAGATTTGAATCCCCTTTAAAATAATGTATTAATAGAATACCTATGTAATATTGTGTCTACTCTGTAAGTCATTTTGGATAAAAGCGTCTGCCAAATGCATAAACATAAACATGTAATTATCTTCTCTCTACTAATGTTAAAATATTAGTCTATGATCTGTCCATTGTCCTAAGGCCACTATCTATTTTGTTAGGCACAGAGGTCGTTGTAAATCCAGTGCCTGGTTAATTTTGGTAGCCTGAAAGATGATTTTATTCCAAATTTCAAGAGTCACTGTAGTCCAGTCTTCCATTAAAACAAAAAAAGGCTACATTGGCTTAATTTCTGCAGCCCAGAAAAATATCTTAAATTTGTTTAATCCCATCATCTGATTGAGACCATTTTCAACCTAACTCTACTAAGTGTCTTTTTTTTTTGTGAAACAAATTTTTAAATTATTTTATCTAAATTGAAAAAACAGATTTTAGAATTTCTACAGTTGACATCTAAAACAGAGTAGCTTTGGCAGAAAATTTGAACAAATACTTTCAACGCGTCCCAGGAAGTGTTGACCACTGTTCCAAATCACTACTAACGCACTGGATTATTTTTGTTACAAATGGCGTAAATTCTACGAAAATGGGGGGAACATTTAAGCCAAGGTATTTCTTAATCTCTTATGGACAATTAAAGCCAATTTTAAGTCTTGCACTGAGTGGAATTCTCCTGTAATAGTGGAGACAACAAGTCTTTAAAAGTTTTGTAAAATTTGTCGTCATATCCATCTGGTCTCGGGCCATTTTGGAATAACTTAATAAACTTCATCTCCCATTCCTAAATAGGCTCATCCACGTTCTCAACTACTGATTCTGATTCTGAAAACAATCGTAGGCGCTCGTGCTTTGAGTTGTAACCTAAATTGACAATGAGTTTAGTTGTTGGCAGCATGAAGCAGCAATCAATGGTACGGGCAGAGAAAGAGTCCCACTGACTTCCACTCTCATGTGATCCCTGTGAGAAAACAATATCAAGTATACAAATTATTAATAGTTTGAGATGGCTAGTAATGAGCTGCTAATGCTTCCTCTTACCCTGTGATCTCTCCTAGATTTGAAGCCAATGCACCTGGAGTTCACCAGCAGGCCAGAGGCTATAGGAACTGGAACCCTCCTCTGCTCGGAAATCTCCCAGATGAGTTTCTGAGGATCTTGCCCCAGCAGATGGACAGTATCAAAGTAAATATGGGATCCTAAGTGCCTTTTATTTCTAATGTTGCCAATCGAAGTTGTTTACCTCCTTCATCCTTTTACATATTCTATGATGTTTTAAGTTTGTTGTGGATGCCAGTGGTTTCCATTCATTGGCATGTTAGCAAAATACATGGTTAGCTGTGGGGTCCAGTAGATCTTTTTTCATTGGAACCTGAATATTTGCCGTTTGCTGCCGCCACAAGCTGCCATAAAATTCTAATCGGGTTGTATATGATTGAGGATTAATAACCTAATGGACAAACAATAAGTTTAGATCAGAATGAATTAGAAATAAGTCATTTGATAAAGGAGACGTTGTTGAAATCTGTAGAGATTGAAATGGATGGATTGGAGAAATAGCTTGGGCAGTTTTGAATGATCCATTTGTTTATCTGTGTCTACCCTCTAATTATTTCCAAGCAAGATTGTCATTGATTTGTAATCCAACTCTTTTCTCGATTTGACTAAAGTAATGTGTTCAGCGATTACAAAGCAGAAGAGAACAGGCAGGTTACAACTCTGTAAAAAAAGACGTTGTTCTTTACCGTTGATGTAGTTCTGGTGTAAACTCTGTCTTGATATGCAAATAAGAAATGATGGTGGGTGGAAGTGTGGCTGTATTGCTGTTAACTTTAACTCTAAACTGATTGTTTATTTGCTGCAGGTAACTTTCTTTTTTTTTTGTGGGGGGGGGGGGGGGGTTTTTTTTTCCCTGTTTACTTCTCTCATACATGCATCTTCAGGTGCATTCAGTAGCTCAAGAGTTTTCCAATTCAAAACACAAGTTTGCATTTGCTTGTTCTACTATTGAATCTCTGAAAAACTAAGTTCTAAGTTCAACTAAGTTCATTTAAATGCCGGCAGAGCTGGTGTCAGAAGTGGATTTAACCCATTATGATCAATAAGCGTGCTTCACCTTATCTCGACAGAGCTCACAGGCCGGTGTGGTTCAGCCTTCGTCATCCTCCTCCTCCTCGGTGTCTTCAGGCGGTCAGTGGACAGCTCAGTCTTGCTCGGGGTCTGGCGCCGCAGGGACCACTGGAGGTCCCGGTTTCACTGCCGGGGCGGCCGAGCAAGATATCAAGCTGAAACAGTATCTGGAAGACGAGCGCATTGCCCTCTTCCTGCAGAACGAGGAGTTCATGAGAGAGCTGCAGCGCAACCGGGAGTTCCTCATCGCATTAGAAAGAGGTATGCGGGCTATTAAATTTTAGGTTATTTTATTTTGCAGTGCGTTAATGGATTGTTTTTAAGCTTAAGGGATGTGACGTTGTTCAGGTCTGAAAAGTCTTGGGTCTGTAAAGGTTCCCTGTGGAGTTTTACATGTATTTTAAAAATCTCCTTTAAGTGAATGTAATGTTTTTGTTTTGTTTTTTGCCTGCAAAAGCAGGCAGGAAGACTGCAGGCAATCGAGCGCGAACATATAACTAATTACTCTCAAAGAATTGAATTTGCAGATGTTTCGTGTCTAAGGAAATGTGGCCAACATATGCTGTGTAGCTCAGAGAAACGCGGCTTCCTTTCAGTGGGAAGGGTTATTGTGCTGCGAGTGGCCCGGCCCAAGACGGCTCTGTTCATGCTTCGAGGCAACAGACACGGAGATGTATTGTAAACGGCACGCTCTCATGCAGTCATCACGTCTCAGCAGCAGAGCTTGCATGCAAAGAGTTCGCATGCCACGGGGAGAAACGTGGACTTAAAGGTCCTGACATTTTTAGGAAAATTAAAAATGGAAAGAAAAACACTCGATTACTTGGAATTGAATGTCAGGTTTTGGTTTCACACCATCTTTAGAGAATGAAAATAAATCATAAATATATATATATATATAGATGGATAGAACTATTAGGTTTACTATCGATCACTTTTTTTATTTTTTAAGTTTGTACCAAATAACTCATCATACTTTTTCTTTTTTTTTAGACCAAGGTTCCATTTATAGTGTTAGCCTTTGGAAAATAATCTTGTTTATTTTGCTTCTCACATTTTGCCCCCCACTGTTTAAATTTGTTAATTGTGCCGTAGTGCTGCAGGTTTTGTTAATATGTACAACTTTATTGTTTACTTGGAAATACCAGCTCAATATGTCTCCATGTTTTTCATAGTCTTATGTCCTCAAGCTTATGATCCCTTGCTTTTCATTGTGTAGATGGGTCTGAACCACATTCATGGTTGTCACAACATGAACTGAAATGATTTTCCAGCAACTGATATTTTGTCACACAAGATAGACGCCTAATTTTATTTATTTTTTACTGATGTTTTGCTTCATACAGGGAATTTGTAATAGTGATGTGCCTTTGGGGGAGAAAACAACACTTTAATAGTGCTGAATTTCAAACTTTGGTGTGACCGGTTGGCTGTCTGGGACAGTTGGTCTCAGTCACAGTGTTCAATGATATCACTTTCGGGTAAATTACGTCGGGATTGGGACATTTTCGCCGAAATAAATAGTTTGATTTTGTTAATGTTTTCAGCGAAAGGTAAAAAACATGATATTCCATTCAAGTCAGTTTTTATTTCTCTTTGGTGGTTTTAAGTCACAACCTAGTGACAGATTGGTCTCAAAGTTCTTCTCCATTGTTTATGAGCTAGCGGTAGGCGTAAAGACGCTGTTAAAAATGGGCTTAGGTTTGTTGAGCAAGACTTGTAACTGATCATTGTGGAAATCTTTCTGATCGTTTATGTCTGTAGAGAAACTAAACCTGACATTTGAGTTAAAAAACATCCACAGAGAAAAATCGAGGTGAGGTTTGTTATTATCCAGCTGTAGTTGTAGAGGTTCCCCACTTATTTGGGATCAACCTGCCATCATTATTCCAAGTTGGTTCTGAACCCATGTGGCTAAAAACATTAGGGTGGGGTTTCTAGTGCCCCCCCACACCCAAGACGTATGGACAAGGAATAAGGTGTATGGACAATGGATGGAGGGTTTCTGATGCCATGTTGCCTGAAGGCATGGCTTTCATACACACAAATACAACAGTTTTTTTAAAATGATGTAATTCTTATGTTTTGTATTTTACCCTCCAGGGAAAGTTATGTTTTTAAAAGTGTGGTTTTTGTTATCACTTTGGAGTTCATCATATCTGGTTCAGCTCATCAGTGGTCATAACATCTGCTCTCTGTTTTTAGATCGCTTGAAGTATGAATCAAAGAAATCAAAGTCCAATCATTTATCTAGCATGGAGAATTCCACAGGTAGATATCACTCATCACGCTTCCTCTGCTCAGCTGTTTGCCACTGTGTCTTTGTGCCGCCAAATTCACTAAACCCCTCTGTGCATCTTTGCGTTCATTGTGATATTTGTTGTTTTGTGTCGCAAATATTTGCTGCATACCTCATGCAATATATAGCTGTGCTAGAATAGCGTGACACATATTGCATGTGCATATTCCACAGTGTGGTAGTGCTGTTGTGTCTGTGTGCAGGAGAACAGTGCTCTGCAGCTTCAGTGGAAGCTGTCTCAGATGACGCCTTGTTCAGAGACAAACTCAAGCACATGGGCAAATGTACGTCGCATTTATTTATATCCGTTCTACCGCGTTAGGCTTTAGGTTCTTTTCTGTCTTCTGTAGTACCAATCTAAGCTGTCTCTCCTTCTCTCTTTCTTCCCCAGCTACAAGAAAGAAGCTGTTTGAAATCGCTAAAACGTTTTCTGAAAAGACCAAGAGGAGAAAGTCCAAACGGCGGATACTCCTGAAACATCATTCGTATCCTTCATGTAACTTTGGCAATTTTTCAAAGTGCCTAGCAATGACATTTGTTGTGATGTGGTACTGTATTATTAAACCTGAATTTGAATGGAAACATTTGCCATCAGTGTAAATGGGGATTTTGTGTAGTATATGAGAGCAGTGTACTTTAAAATACTGAGAGGTCGTCATTTTAAAGTTCACTTGTGCATGAACTGCTACATATCACGAAGTTCTCATCACACACCGAGCATGCTGGATATTTGCTTTTCTGTTTTTATCTTAACCAAGCTCGTTTCCAGATTGGGGACAGCCAACTCTACAGTCAATCTTCTCGAAGAAGACGAGGGAAATCCCTGTGGTATGAAATAAGTTTTACCCAGATAATGGTCATATTTTCATACATTCACAAGAAACTGAGCAAACAACTCACCTGTTTCAGCCTTAGGTGAAACTGATGAAGCAAAGACGTTTAATTAAATGCCTTATATTGCCTAAAGTATTGGCTCATTTGCCTTGGATCTCATATGAACTTAAGCGACGTCCCATTCTTACTTCATAGAGTTCTATGTGACGTTGGTCCATCCTTTACAGCTATTACAGCTTCATCTCTTCTGGGAAGTCTGTCTACAAGATAGTTTTTCTGGGAATTTTTTACTTTTGGAAGTTAATTTGTGAGTTCAGGCAGTCTTTCTGTTCAGTGTGATGGACAAGCACCTAAAGCCGTGGCTGGCTGGAGCGTGAGGGGCTGAGTAGGTACTAAGGAGCCCAGCTCCTGAAAAGCAACCCCACCATAATCTCCCTTAAACCGAACTTTACACTTGGCTCAATACAGTCAAACAAGCACAGGTTTCCTGGCAGCGTTCATTGGTACATTAGATGGCCAGATGGACTTCATCTGACTTGAGGGACTGCTCGTCCACTTCTCTGGAGTCCAGTGGTGCCGCCCCTCTGCATCACTGAATCCGACACTTTGCACTTAGTGATGCGTGGCTTGGATGCAGCTGCTCGGAAAATGGAAGCCCATTTCAGGAAGCTGTTTGCGCAGTGTTCTTGGGCTAATCTGAATTCCACAAGAAAGTTTGAAGGTCTGCAGCAATAGACCGCGTAGAGAGCCATTCTTTCTAAAATTTTTGTAGAAAACGGTCGGTATTTGGAACATTTTCTTTTGATCATTTGGATGGCTAAGTGAAAACTTTTGGCAAAATAGTACATTTTAGTTCCGTCGAGAATAATTCAGTGTTACATTAAATGCCTATTTATGAAGAGTAGTCCAGAGAGAAATGGGTCACATGAGATTTTCATATGTGTATATAGCGTATTTAGATTGTGTATTTATATAGCGGCAGCCACAACCATCTTTTCATACTGGTCAGTTCTTTTACATTACTAACTGAGAGACACCAAATCAAAATCCAAAATGCATAAAATTAATAGGAAAAAAACAAAACAACCATAAGGTTTTGTCCACCAGATTTTTTTTTTTTTTAGTCATAAGAACAAAAAAACAAAGACTTTGTCATTTGTGTTTTTCCCTCATTTTCAAATACATTTATTTTATTTGTTAAACATGCACTAATATCCATCCATCCATTATCAATACCGCTTATTCCCTCATGGGGTCGCAGGGGGAACTGGAGCCTATCCCAGTGGTCAACGGGCGAGAACATGCACTAATATCAAAACTTTTTTTGTGTCTAGAGGAGGATGGTCAGTCCAGAAAAGCCAACACTCAGGAAGAGGCCAAGCAGCGCAATGAGCCGGTATCATGGTAAGGCACCCCTCGGAAGCTTGAAAAGTCCGGACAGAGTGCATCTGATTAAGGAAAACCATTTTGCTGTTGGTGTATTTAAAGTAACTGTCTTGTGTTTTAAAAGGATACCTTTTTGGAGGAAAAAAAACTATTCTTGGTGTTTATCTGCATCATATAATTTCCTAATTTCTTTCTCTTTAAATAAAACATAATTCTTTATAAAGCTTTTATAACCACCATAAGAAAGTCCCAGAAACGTCTTTGTTTTGTGTCTTCTCAGAGCGGATTTTGAACCAAATGGTTCTAGCCAAAGATAAAATACCTTATTTTTCCCAGAACCTGAAGAAAAAAAACACCACACTTCTAAATGTTTTAAAGTTGTGGCTTTAAGAAAGAAAAGCAACCAGCAAACTTAGATTGCAATGGGATCCAAAAAATTCCATTGCAGGATTTAGCATAAAATCTCTTTCCATCAATTTCTAGCTTGATGTGAAGTGATATTTTATTGAGTCTGTTTAGTGTAAATGCAGGTTTAACAAACAAAAATGTCACAAAATAGTTTCTTACGATATATAAATATTCGGGCTTTCTTTAGGAGCAAAACATTGTTCTCACACATATTAATTAATAAGTTCATTTATCATTATTTTATTTATTTTTTAAATATATATTTTTTAAATGTTTAGATCAGTAGTAGTAGAATGAAATAATGGTTATAGCCTTAGAGGTGCTACACTGGACTCCCCGCGTAAATTTGGGCTTAAACTTCGATTCGGTGCATTTCATTTCAGATTCTTCCCGGACTGTGCCCTACGGAGTCGCCGCGGCGACGGCAGGATGAGGCATCGTGGGCGTTGCCTCTTACGAGCTTCCTGTCCCGACTTACTCACCCCACCCCAACGCAAACTGATGGAAGGCTCAGTAAGGATGTAAGATGCCCTTCCTTCCAGAGGAGAGCGACCGGACCGTCCCGGCCCTGAGCTGACTGTTAATCCATTTTCTCTGTATTATAAACTCTTAGTTAATTATATAATTTTCAATGTAAAGGGATGCATTACATCTTCCTATGAATAATGGCTTCTTTTGATTTGCAGAAAGGAGCACTAGCGTGGTGGCGAACTTTCTTATTTTATTTTTTTTTCTGTGTTGCTCTGAATCAAGTCCCTCAAACTGGGCACTTTTGAACCCCAAAATGTTCACATGCACACAAATGACAAACACTAAGTTGCACACAGGTTTTTGAAATCATGATTCCTAATCCACACTGCAGTGTTTTTCTCTGTCATCGAAGTGATGGCTGGCCAAATGTCCCGTCACATTTTCCATCGACTTTTTCACCCCCTTTTGTTTCTGTTTTATCTGAAGTGGAAGTAACACTTGCACAAGGCAGATTGTGGGGATTTAAAAGCGAACCGGGGAGACGGGCTGAGCCGCTCCGGGCCCGAGGGGCCCACGCACTGCACGTCTTTTTAAAGCTTTCCCTGCTTCAAAACACCTGATTCACATCAACACAAACCTCAGCCTTCAGAGGAGATCCATTTAGTCTCAACCGGGCGCGTTAAAGCAGGTAAACCTCCTTAAAAACGGCGGGGCAGCAGCCCTGGAGGCCCAGAGATGTCCAAGCCTGGTTTAAGTCTGAACTCTGAACTGTCTCAGTAAGTTTTAAAGGGCTAACATAGAATCGTAATGAATCGTAATGAAGTTAAAGGCCTAGCCACACAAGCACGGAGTCATTCGGCATCGTCCTAAAGGCAATCTTTCTTTTATTTTTTTATTTTCTTAAGATATAAGTGTTCACCTGTGTGCACTTTGTTTGGACCCATTTGCTCATTTAAATGTTGAATGAAGTGGTTGAAGATTTGGAAAGTGAATTTTGGAAAGGCACAGGCCACCTAGGATCCCCCACCCACGCATTTATCAAGTTATTTAGGCCGCAAATCTACACAAAAGGAACCGAACACTGGAGGTAGTTTTTTGTGGGATTCAAACAAAGCAGTAGCTGCTTGGAAGGGAGGAAGTTCGGTAAATGATTGCATGTTTGAAAGCCAGTGATGGGGAGATTGATCATTATTTTGTGTAGGAGGTTTCCAAGTGGGAGATTTGATGAGCTGGTTGAATCCTCCAGATGTTGTTAACTCGGTTTTCTGTGTACGGGAAATGTAAAGTGGATATGATGTGGATGGGAGGATGAGTGATGGCACCAGTGACTATGTCTCCCTTTTGTGGGGTTCTCTTTCTATTTCTAAATGACGAATCTTGATGTTAAAGTATTATTTTGTAAAATATCATATATCTTGTGCAACAGCCTCAATGGCACAACTTGATAGAAACCCATTAAGCAAAAGTACCCGAGGGGCTTTTTGTGGAATATTGTTTTTTCTAATATTTGTAGTTTCATCAAAGCAAACCTGTGTCACATCTTTGGCCTACCAAAGTATTTTTTATTACTCATTACATGACACATTTTCCTCCAACCATCTCTATTTAACCTTGTGTTGTTTTTCAGTGTGATGAAGGAAAAGTGCATAATAAAAAAAACAACTTCTAGTCCTTTTATTTTCTGACTGAGCCATGGCATGAGCTTAAACTGTATCTGGGTCATGCCTTATTGCCACGGCAATTTAGTTTGTGAGGCGTACACAAGGCCAGCGGTTAACAGTCCAACCTCACAATTCGACCCACAACTTTCTCCGCACGCACCCACAACAAATGTCAAAGATGAAAATGTAGCAATTTCGATTTAAGATCGAAATGGACACGGAGGTTTCCGTTTGCCTCCTCAGTCCTGTGAACCCCTGCGTCTTCCAGCTTCTGCCCTCAAAGAGCCGCCCTCCCTCCCGTATGGGGCTTTTGGTTCCCCCTGAAAGCCGCTTTGCCATATCTGTGAGCAAATCATGTCTCATCTCGTTTTATTATGTAAGAGAGCCATAACAGAAATTATGGTTTTCATGTCAAAACACTTAAGAAGAGGATACTGACTGAAGTAATACTTAAGAGCAACAGCAAGACAATGTAAAGTTGAAAGATTTTGAGACCCCCCAACCCTGTTTTCTTTTTGACATAAGAAAACAGATTTGTGTACAATATCAGTTTACAATGTAAGGTTTAAAAGAAGTGGTCATTTACTATCCATTTTGAGTTGATTTACTTATTGTAAATCAACTTATTTCATTTTTTTTTTTTATATATATTTTTTTTATAATGGAGGTGCAGGAATATACTTTGGATGAGTTTATATTGGGTTTAGTTCCTAATTAAGTGTAACTATCTTGATTTAGGCGCCTCTGGTAATATTTAAGGATGAGCAATGTTAGGACACCATTGATCTCCAATTCGAAATTGAGCCATCTTGCCATTAAATGCATCTTTAGACAGACATGGCCGCATCCAATTAGGCGGTGATATTTGAGAAATACACAATGTCAAGCAACTGTTTTATTTTATTTTTGTTTTTTTTTACATTAATTCAAATGTCCATGTCAGCAGCAAAGTCTCTTTGGAACGATGTGCATTCAGGAGCTTTGAAGTCCACTTGTTGAACCTCTCTTTAACCCTACTGATGCGGCTCGCTGAGTGTTGGAACAACCTGCCTAATATGACTGATGCCTTTCTTGCCTGTGGTCAACGGCTAACCAAAGCAGAAGTCAGTGCAGTTTCAGTAAGTGGGCACAGATACAAACAACTGGCCCTCCTACAGAGGAAAGGCCATGTGGCCATGTCCTGATGTCTGTATGTTTCAGAGCAAATGCAAAGATGGTCGCTTCCTTTTACAAGAAAGTGTCCCATGTCCAGAGTGCTGTTGGTTCAGAGTTTTAGTTTCACGTTTAAGGTCTCGGTTTATTTTGGGCCTTTATATGTTGACGTTAAGAGTATTCGTAATTCTACTGTAAAAAATTCAAAATAAAAATGGATGTTTTAGCCTGTTTGACGATAACGTGTATAGGAAAATAGAAAATCCTGAAATATGTTGCAGGAAACATGGGGGGCAGGGGATCCTTTTCCTGCTCAGTAAGACACCATCACCTCTTCTTTTTTTTCTCTTTTTTTTTACAAAAAATTCAGACTAACAAGTAGAAATATAGTTACATGTTCTGGTCCGTCTTTGGTTCCTCTTTCAGGCGTTCTCAGGGAAAATCCACAAAAGTTACTTTCTTCCGTTTTGGTGTTTTTGACACGCCTTTTGACGCGCTTCTGTCCTGGGGTCTCATTTATAAAACAATTGCGTAGGTAGGCTCAAAAAGTAGAAAATCACGTAAACCATCCAAGTAAGCAAGTGGTTCCCTCTTAAAAGATTTGGTTTAAAAAATAAAAAAAACTCCTAACTCTTTGGGTAACCACAGAGTGGTCACCTCTCTCTAATACTGGACCCAGTTCAGCACATAGATTCACGAGAAATGAAAATAAATACGCGTTGAATCATCATCATGGGCAATGAAAAACAAGTTGACGCTCGTTTTTGAATGTTTAAATCAATTTACATGTCCGGATTTTTTTATTTTTTTTTTATTTGAAAGATTCTTAGGAATAATTACTCACCAGCACGCGCATAAATAACACTGCCATTTAGAATGTTCATGTAAAAGTTGATCTATGGTTAAAGGTTGAAATGGAGTGAAATGAGGAACCATGACACAAAGAAGGACCTTTTTTTCATTTTTTTCCATAGATCACACTCCCGTGGAAACTGGCTAGTTTCAGTTTCAGGCATCGTTTTGTCCACACGCAGCTTTTATAAATGAGAACCCAGGTTATTTCCCGAGGCTTGAAGCAACACTATCAATATTAACAGCTGCACAAGTAAGACGCCATGGAGACAATACACGTGTAAATAATAGAAAGCACCCAGCCATTTGGGATGGAAGTAAAACTGTCTTTGGTTAAGTCTCATTTCACATATCAACACTTTTTCTTGTCTTTAAGTTTGTACCCTCTTGATAAGTCTTCCAAAATGAAAGACACTTGTGGTTTTCGGCTGTTCGGGCAGCTGAATGGGCAGCACAGCAGCTCACTGCCAATCATTTGTATATGAAATTGCCACTTTGAGGAAGCAAAGGTCCAATATTGTTGATCGAATTCTGCAATTCTCGTTACTGCCATGCGTTGGTGGGTCAAAGCTCAACGCATTCCTTTTGTCTTGTGATCACGCTGAGGGACTCGGTTAAAGGCATGAAGATCTAAATGTTCTAGGTTCATGATTCTGACACTTTTTGTTCATGTTTCATTGAGCTAAAAAGAGTAAACTCAAGAGTTTGGCACCCTAACGATCTAAGAAAAATAAATCTGTGAGGTCACACTAACATCCACACTCACTCAGATTCCAGTTTATTTTAAATGTCTGTAAGATATACAGTCTCCGAGCCATGGACTTGTGTTATAGATCAGTTTAAGTCGTAATTGGTGTGTGTCAAGCCATTGATACTGTGACTGTGTCCCACAGTGCCTGGGGAGACACTTCCACACATTTTATATCGACACCGTGTGTTTTCACAGCCAAACAGCGATGAGGTGATTTGAAACACTTTTTACGAGGAGCTCGACAACTTTGGCTCTAGGCTTATAGGGAGACGAAGGTCAGACGTGGCTGTCCAGTTGTGTAACCGTTGTTTTGTTTCACCTTTGTCCTGCGTAAAGTTCTTGGAAAGCAAGTTTTTGAGAAGTCGAAATATGGGTTTTGTTCCTTGTCCCGGATGTTTGTAAATAAACTAACACAACCAATAAAGTTCTTTTGTATGATGAAATATTGTTTCTATGTTATGTTTGGATATATATTGTATATCCTTCTTGTGTGTGTGTGTGTGTGTGTGTGTAAGGATAGGAAGTGGTGCGTGTTTGACAGGTCATGGGAAAAGCAAAATGTTTACCAGAATGTTTGATTTGTGTTTCCCTAACTCAGACATTTATCCTCTTGTTCCTTAACCCCATAAAACCTGAAGGAAAATTTAATGGCATACATCCGAGAAGCCTCTGTCTCAGTTCTTTGTTCTTTATACAAAGTCTTTTGTAATAGCAACCCTCCCCCCACCCAACCATTTGAAAATCAATCAATATCAATTACTACATTTACCAATATCAATAGGCCAAACGTTGTATGTCCCTCAGACCGGTATTGGCAGAATTGAGAAATGAAAGATTCTCATTCAACTGGGATCCCATTGCAGTTCACACTGACATGATAAAACCTATTTTACTAAAACATTTTCTAACATTTCTTGTGGTGTCTTTTGCCCATTTTGATGTTCCATGTAGGAATTACGAGGCATCGAAACAAGACACAACCTAACAAATCACGACCTTAGACAGACACACATACACATTTATTGATGTTTCGTTGCTAAACATTTTACTCTGGTAGCCAAGAAATTGACATTTCGTTGTCAAACTCACTTCGTGTTTTTGACAATGACAATAAAGGAAGTCTAAGTCTAAGTCTCTAAGTCTCTTAAATGTCTGCGGCTTTGCCATTTGTTTCGGATCTAGGCCGGCAATCGCTAAACTCCTGCCTCTGACTCTCGTTTTCTCAGACATACTATGGATTTTAGACCAGGAAGAGTGTTTCTCCCACAGGTTTTGTTTCTGGTCATTGTTTCTGCTCCTGGATTTCAGTTAGAAGCAACCCAGCCTATAGTGCCCCCCTCTGGAGAAACTTCAGGTCAAAACATATCTCTGGAAATGTGAAAATGTATTTTAAAATCTCCTTACGCGCTCTCACGGTTCACTTTTTTTAAAACAAGAAATCTATCTCACTGGCTACAGTATAATTTCATAAACATTTCTAATGGCCGTTAGTTGTCCACCCTGTTGCCTGTCGTCCACTCTTTATCTTTAGCCACAAAAGAATGCAAACTTAACCTTGAATTCTGTCTGGTTTTATCTTTTATTCCCCCAGCTCCCCGTTTCAGGCTTGATTTTCTCCACTAAACATGTGTACACAGGATCCATTTGCTGTTTAAGGAGCAGGTTCTGTTTTCTGTGCAGCTGATCAACCCAAATGATTTGCTTTGGTTATAAAATTAAGCCAAAAATAGGTAAAGTGTAATCCTTCTTCTCTCTTGAGCAGTTCTTGACTATAATAGATATCTTCAGGATGTAAACTGTTTTTTAAATTTGGCATCTGGTGCTCTTTTTGATCCATATAGCTGTAGAAAAAGAAGATTTGATGTTAGAGGAAGGTTGAGGGATGGAATCTTAAAGTCCTCCTGCTGGCACCTGCCACCACAGTGTGAAAAACGGAGGTATTTTCTTTACATTTCTGGAAGATACTGTGAATAACAGACTCTTTTCATGCAGTGCTCCGTAACTACGATTGACCCTGGAAACAGGATGAGGGGGAGACTTCCGATCTGGCAGTTTGCTATCTTACGTTTTGTTTCCTTTCTCTCTTTTTCTTGATTTTTCTGTCTTTCTGTCTCAGAGCCTTTTCTCTTTTTGAGTGCCAGTTTGCTGTGACTTGTGATTCATAGGTTATGTGCACCCTTCGATGTGCCTTAAGGTCCTTTAATGCACATCTGTGGCTCAGATTATTGAACTTTTTCTAATAAATCGTAAGACTGATTACTTACAGGCTTTTTTACAGTCTGGTATGGAAGCTGAACTGAATTCAGCTACTTAGAAATTCCTCTTTTGTTACTTTAAAAAACTTTAAGTACCCTTACCTTTATTTAATTTTTTTAGATAATTTGTTTCAAGAATTTACAAGCAGATCGCTTTCTGTCACAGAGCATGTGGTTGTCAACAGAAAAAAATGACACAGAGTTTGTACCAGCTTAAATAAAAGGTTGGGACGGAAAGCAAACCAAGGCTCTTCATCTGTAAGCAGAAAGTTTAAAAAGGCACAACGATTCAAATGAACACGAACATGTAGGATACCAAAACAAAGAATAACAATACAGCCAGCCATCAGCAGAATAATTCAGCTTGATTACACCAGGAATTTGGTAAAAAGGTTTGAATGATTTGCCTGCTGGATGCTTAATGGAGGGGCTGCATGTGTGGAAAGATTCTATAAGATTAGTGCTGAGTAGGTAAACTCGACCCTCCCAAATGTTTAAGCAGCTATTCTTTCATTTGAGAAAAACTTTTTTCTACGAAACAGAAAATTTCAATTTTAAAATATTTGCTCTGTCTTTTTTTTTTCCTTCTTACATTTTTAGGATAACAAGGAGACCAAACTGAGAGCCCATCAACATTTACAGCAACAAAATTCACTATTATCCTGCATAGCCAGGGGCTGTAAAATAAACTGATCAAAGTTGTCTTGGCACTCTTTGCTTAGACAAATAGAAAAATGGTACTAAAGTGAAACTGAGAGTGAAAATTTTCGATGAAGTCATTTACCCTCAGAGGCTAAATAAAATGCTCTACAATTCAGAACTGTTGCGTGTGGATCAGAATTTTCTCTCCTCCCTCCTTCCCCTGAACAAGCATCTTTTTAATCCCACCATCAACTCACCATCATTTATGGCGCCTCTCAGCCAATGAAAGCTCGGACTCGCTCCTACAGGTTTCAGCCCTTCCCTCAATTATTTTAAATGTATTTCTTTTTCCATCTTAAGTTGCCCATTCGCCCCGCGACCCCATGAGGGAATAAGCGGTATTGATAATGGATGGATGGATGGAAGTTGCCCATTCGTTTAATGTACCTAATTTTTCTTCCATGGCTTGTTCTGCAGGTGACAATTTTCCCATCATGAAATGAATTCAATTCACTGCATGTCAACATTTAATTTAATTAATTCTCTCATCATGGTCATGCCAGCATAGTGAACATCAACATAAAAAAAAACAGCACATAGTAATCACCAAGACAATACAAGCAAGATAGAAAACAGAAGTCACAAAGGTGGAAACAAGGTTTGGAGACAAAGAGCTCATCAAAAGTCCTCCGTTCTAGGTTTAAATTTCCAATATGGAAATAGTTGAAAAGAGCTCTAAAAAGTGATGTTATGGCTTCTACGTTTTTGGGAAGATCATTGTTATGTGAAGTTCCTGAGGTCTAAAATCCAGTGTCCTTGTCATTTTTTATTTAGTTTTAACTTTTTTTTAATAGTGTTTATGGTGTATGTATGCAGACGTTGGCCATCATTTACTTCTGGTAAATGCAAATTTGAACAAAACTTTTGACTGAACAAGCGTAATTCATACCGTTTTCTTTTCTTTCTTTTTTTTTTTTGGTCATACAGGTGACATTTATTTCAGTGCATTTCTTTCAGATGTTTAAGTTGTATTAAAAAATACATGAAGAGGTTGGAACAGAAAGAAAATCATCTTAATACGTTTATCAACGGCTGATTCATGCATTAAAGCAAAAAAGTCTAAAAAAAAAAGGTATCTAACCTCTGCGGATGCATCTGTTTTTCGTTTTTTGCGTTTTACCGTTTCATCACAATTTAAAAGTTCATTTGGTTCATTTCACTTCATAATTTACCAAGATAATTTACAGTGCAAATACAATTGTTACTCACGATACAATTAACGACTGAAAAAAGGACCAGGAAATATGCATTTTCTTTCTTCTTGCTTCTTTTTTTTTTTAACAGATTCATGCAAATCACTACTATCTTTGCACAGTCCTTTGCAATCCCAACTTTACTACGTCTCTGAAAAAAAGTTCTATTGCTTATTGTGCCCATGGTTTTTCTTCTCTTTTTCTTTTTCAAAATCAGGATCAGAGGCAGAATAGAAGTGTCTCTTTGCCGTGAAACAAAGAGAGAGCTTTGGCATTCTGAAATTGATCCCACTGTGGAATGTGTTAACTGATGAATTCTGTCAGATTCCTGTCTTCAGTGTCTGTCTTGGCTTTGTACAAGTGTTGGATTTACTAGCTTTTTTTTGCAGCGCCTTCATCATTCCGACCGCCATCGCAATCCCAGACGGTTTGCATCGGTGTTTTGTCGTTCGTTGTTGGTGAGTGTATCACTTTGGCTTAGGGTTAGGGTTAGAGACGTTTGGGGGTTCTTGTAGTTCTCACCCAAACGGCAAAATCTTTCTGCAACCTTTTTCTGTAGCATGCCCGGTGTCACTCACTCAACCAAAAAGGGGGACTTTTGGAAGACCGTTCGCAGTCGTAAATTATAACCAAAGAGGAAAAACCGAACGTTTGTTTGGATTATTTGCTTCTCGTAGTTTACAAGGGAATGCTGCCGTTCACCCTTTTTATTCATTCAACGTTGTCGTCCATTGGCTCAGTCTTAGAGCTGCCGTAGACGGTGCCCTTCGGGTTACGCCTTCCAGTCCTTAAACCGATCCTGGCCGCGGATTGCGGTCCCGCTCCGACTTCGTGGGCTTGCTGGATCTTGAAGGCCTCTCTCAGGTTCTGAGCCCGGACCTCCTTGCTTTGGATTTCCTCCACGACCCGGCTGGGGAACCAGCCCCTCTCGCCGTCGTGGAGCCTCTCGGCCATCATCCAACCTGGAAAACCAACCAAAAAAGTCAATACGCTAATGTCGAAGGCCGAAACCTTATTTTTTTGTCAGGTATCTGTGGAACTCACCGTCATTCGTGCGCTCCAGGAGGTTCAAAACGTCGGCCATCTCTATGGAGAGCTCGTCTGGCTCCTGCGCGGAGTACGACTGAATGCACTGCACCTGGGGAGAGTCTGAGAAATGGACCGGGTCGAATTAAATACGCGTCTTTAGAGACTTGCGGGATATTGTTTTTCGTGATTTTTTTTTCCCACCTGGCTGATGGGAACTGGTGGACATGAAGCGCGTGCGCCTGTTGGGGGTGAGCGCACACATCCATCGAAGTTTCTCACTCCTGCGCCATTAATTCAATTGATTAGTGGTCACTCAAGAATATCTACACACACATTTCTTACAGCATCGTACACCTTTATTTGTATTTGTCATTTTTAGAGGATTTGTCCAGCAACCACCATCCAGAACAGACACACACTTTTGAACAGGTATTATTTGTATCTGTTGTATACAAACTAAAACTAATAAGAGAGCTCCTGGTTCAAATCCCAGTTGAGGCCTTTCTGTTGTGAGTTTGCATGATCTTGGTCTCCCCCCCATAGCTGTGACTTCGCTCTAGGTACACAACCTTCCTGCCGCTGGGCAAAAATGTGTTCTTAGTTCAATTGGTTGCTCTAACTTGCTTGTCTCGTTTCTGTTTTTGTTTTTGTTTTTTTGGTGGCCCCTTGATGGACTGTACGGTATGTACTCTAGCCCTATCAGAGCTGGAAAATTAATCTCTGGGTATTTAAAATCAATGGAAATATTTGCTATTAGTTTAACTACATCCGATAAATTTTGCTGAAAACAGAGGGAATAAAATTTTGCTCGTTTCCCTGCATTTCAACTATTTCTGTGGACTTCGGCATTTTGTTAAATCTTGTTTTTTTCAGCGTTCATTTACACATCGGTGAGATTTGGTTGGGTGAAACAATTCTTCTTAGTACAGTTGTTAACAAATAACTGCTACATACCACTTTATTAGGATATCATAAACCAGAGAAGCCTCTTATTTAATTTCTTTATGTTATTACATGTTTAAAATCTGTGTATACCCACAATTAGGAAATTATAGCGTATCAAGATGCTTATACTTTACACAAAATGTAACTTAAGTCTAATAACTGAGGACATATATATATGCCTCAGTTAAGTGAAGCACCTAGACTTTAAGAGGAAATATCAATCTAAACTAGTTATTTAGAGCTGTTAAAGGCTACTTTCAGGGCTAATGTATGGAAAATTCTTTGGTTTCATTCTTTTTCAAAAGAAAAACTCAAGAAAAACTCAATAGGAGTTCATCAACAGTTTGTTTTGGACGCAAAACCCGCCGAACAGGGCACGGATGCTCACATGTTGGAGGTCTTGATCATGTAGGTGACCGTTCGCTCCTCCTGGTTCTCCAGCATCTTCAGGTTGAAGACATTGGCCAGCTGCTGGCCCTGGTTTTCCAGGTCCTCGGTTCTCAGCATGGCCCGCGTGCATGAGTCCAGAACCTGGAACTTCTCCCCACTGAAAAATACGGCACGGATGAACGTTCGCGGGTTTTACTGCAAGAACCAGAACTTTCAAATATTTTTTTCCATTTCAAATTCCAGCCCCTACATTGATAGATCTAGTCAAAACTTTTCAATTCAATTTTATTTATATAGCGCCACATCACAACAACAGTTGTCTCACAGCGCTTTCCAAACAGAGTAGGTCAGACCCTACTCTGAAGTTAATTACAGAAACCCAACAATTCCCACCATGAGCAAGCACTAGGCGACACAGGCAAGGAAAAACTTGACCTAAGCAGCAGTTTGACCGAGACACCCCACATATTAAAGCTATTTCTAAATGTGACAGAAAGATGTGACCTTAGAATAATTCTATTTGAATACTTTAAGTCCAACTGCCTTACTGACAAACCTGCTGAATTTCCGCTCAATTTCTTGTCAGTAGACTTTATATTGGATTATTTATTCAGTGTTTACCCTCCAGGGCCTTCCAATTAAGATGCAGGTAGTTCCAAAAGATGTGCAGGTGTATGGGTAACATTCTTAGGTCTTTTACAGCCTCCACACATTGCCTTTTAATACGAGTTAAAGTAATAATGCTATTAAAGATGGGACTAAGGACGTCTAATGGCAACGATGGGAACTTTGGATCACATTTGCCTTTTTTTCCCTCAGATTTTGGATAGTAACTAATACAATTTGGATAGGAACTGAACATATTTTCAGTCTCACTCAGTTTCGAATTGAAAAGTACAAGGGACGGATTCATCTTCAATATTCAATGTGTGCCGATTTGTGAGCTCGTCCTTTCTATCACGTCAAATGCTTGTTTTGTAAAGAAAATTCATCGATTTCCGCAGTAAAGTTTCTGCTCTAGGTTCAGTTTTCCGTGGCCTGTAGACAGCCCTCCCCCTGCCACTTCACCCCACGCACCCTGCAGGAATCATGGCCTTGTAAAGCGCCAGTGTGTGCAGAAATCGCAAAAAAAAAAGTCGAGACACAACTGTTTTGACTTCTTTTCTGGTAATCTCCTTTGTTCATGATGGAAGACGGCTGAGCAAAACATCAGGGTGGAATTATTGAGACACTGTTGGGTCAGAGACAGGGACAAATAAACTGATCATGAGAGGTTTAAAGCTTTTAAAATGCTTACCTGCGCTTGGTGACCAGCAGGAGATTGTTAAAAAGGAACAGGTAGACCGGTTGGTGCAGCTTCCGGCTGCGCATGGTCTTTGTGCTCTTTGGTCCAGTCATGAGTTGCACCTCACCCTTTTTCAGTAGCCAGCGGGAATGTGAAATGATGGGCACCGACTAGTCGTTAACAAGGGGGGTGGGAAAACAAGCCATTAGAAGTTTAGATAGAAGTTTGTCCTTTGTTTAAAAGGTTATTTTAGATACAGAATATACCCATTAGTGAGGTATTTTCTTGCCATTGACTCCCCCAAGGAGTAGCCTACTGTGCCCTCTCATGTCATTAGCCTCAGTATTACAGTTTTAGTCTAAAAATGATGCATCTGGAGTCCTGGACCACCTCTATCTGGAAATAGTGACCGATTCCTACTTATAAAACCCACAAATATATCACGTTATCGACATGTTGCTCTTGTCTGTTTAGTGATTGCCTCATTTTGGAAATACAGATAAATGCAAAGTTTTATAAATACAGGACAAACATTCTGATGATGGTAATTTAAAGTGATTGTTCTAAAACCTCCTTTTTCACCGTTGTTGGTTTATTCTCACTGTTCCCTCATCAGTTCCTACTGCTTTTAGATATGAGTCTTATATTGAAATTATGATTTAATTTGACAGAATATGAGAAATTAGTGACATTAGTGTGGGATTCTGTTTCCTGACATCGTTCATATAGAAAAGAAAAGTAATTAAACTGCCCACACAATAATTACATGATAGCTACTGTAGATCAAACTCTTCCTGATCTGCAGCTGTCCTATAACCACTTATGTAAAGGCCCAAAACACAAAAAAAAAAGGCATTGAGTTTACTTTACCTTGGATTTAAATTCCAGTGTTTTCTCGATGGTGATGAGCTCCTCTGTGCGACTCATTTTCCGAACTCCCTCGTTACACTCCTTCACAATCTGAAGAAGGTCACAATTTTTAGTGAGTGCATGAATATCAATCATTTAAAGAGGAATTGACTGCAACACTTAGTTTATTTTTAACATATTTTAGTCTTTAGAGGGAGGAATGCCTATGTGCCAGAATGACTTCCTCTAACCGCCTTCTGATTTCTGTATCAAAACTTTTCTGTCTTTTGGGTTTCCATTTATCTGTCATCCTTACAAACCTTCATGTCACAATCATCCCAACACAGACACAACATGTGCTTTGGGAGAAACCATGTTAAAAGGGTGGTCAAGACCCACCCTTTTCTTGACCGCTTCCCTGACTTTAAGGCCAGTCTGTGCCAGGATTGGTGCTCACCTGCTCCAGTTGCAGATGCGCTTTAATGGCAGTTGCCTCCCTCTCTGATTTGTCCTCAGCTTTTTTCAGGATGTTCTGCATGGAAAAACAAATAATATACAGACTGAAAGCTTCAAAAGTGACACTAATACATTGTTTGTCCATGCTGCCTTTTCATTTTTGTATTTCTATATCTCTTGTTTTAACTCTATCACACTGATGTTATAACACTTTTGTTATAACACTGCTGTTAGTTGCTAACTCTGTTGTAAAATTGTTCCTATAATACTGTTGTTTGTTGTAATAACTGTGTTATAAAAATGTTGCTACTGCACCGCTGTTAGTCTTTAACACTGTTATAATGTTGTTATCAGACTGTTGCAATCACACTGTTCTTTGTTGTTATAACTCTGTTATAACTATGTTATTACAACACTTTTTTTTATAACACTATTGTTATAACTCTGTTGGTATAACTATGTTGGTATATAGCCACTGTTATAACACCAGTTGTTATACTCACTTGGACAAGCAACTTGAGCCTTGTTATCCTCTGGAAAGGAAGGATTAGGAAAGAGGTAAAAGACAGGCCCCTGACCCGTGGATGTCTTTCCAGTAAAGCCATGGCATTCCGAAATGCTAGGTTTTCCTCCCTGGACAAGCAGTCAAGGTAAGAAAACACAATAACCATGCATCTCAGTCATGCAGATGCATTCGTTTAGTACAGTATAACTTCTTTCCAAAGGAAGAAAAAAAAAAAACTCCAATCCTACACTAACCATGACATTTCTGATCCACCCAAAAACAAAGCTCACACAGGTTGTAGTGACAGCTAACTCATATTTTTTTTGATAAAGTGTACCTCGGCGCTTAATTTTCCTTGTATCTTTTTCTCCTAATCAAACTCAGGAACCATGGCAGAATCATCATGGCCTTTTTTTCCCAATATTTCACAAGAGAGATAATTATGATGATTACTCTCTGTCGTAACAGAAACTGATATGGTGTACATGAACCTTTTCAGGTTCAAACAACTTTTTCTTGTTGTGGTCAGTAAGTGGTTTCCAATGTTGAAGTCCTTGTATTGAAAAAGAATGTTTAAGACTTTCAGGATTTAAAAAAAAACTTGCATGTTCATAGGGAGACACAGTGGGTGTCATAAGCTGAGTCTTATTTCTGTGATTCAATAACATTTTTACATAAGCGCTGGCTTTATCGCCATCACCTGAGGCAGTGCTCATCGCCATGGTAACCAAGCAGACGGACATAGGATGTTTAATGTCAGAGCCGGTGGAGATCAAGGACATCACGATTCATTATAGATTTCCTAATAAGGTACATTTTCATATATGGGTTTGTGGCCGTTTGGAGAAGGTTTTTATTCAAAACACGAGCTGAGATTTAATGAAAGATTAATGATTAAATATCACGCAGATTGATCAAATATCCAGGTAAATTGGACTGTTTCAGGGATGCAACTACATCTGTTACCTTTACAAACTCACTTCCACTGTGACATCTTGCACATATTTTTTTCTAAAAACATCCAATAACTAAAACCCTCTCGTCCTCTCACGTTTTCTAACCCTTACCATGGGACTCTTTATAAATCGCTAAATTTTTAAATAACAAATCCCCTATGCGACATGCTGTAAGTGAACTGCTAAACTCTAAATTGATTGGCCTTATATAATGCTATTCTGCTATATTGTAAGACATTTATAAATCAAAGCAGAAAAAATAATGTCACGGTGATGTATTTGGGAAACAAGTTACTCACAAAATCCGCCTGTAGTTCTTTTCCTGGTACACCTGGTTGATGACGTACTGGATGAAGACACGAAACTCCTCTACTGCGTGGTTATAAACGATGTCACACACATCGGAAATCAAAATCGATTTCTCAATGCGGTGCTCTAAATCCATCAAGAACCTGCAATATGAACAGAGCCGTGTCCAAAGATGCAGAGCGAAATAGGACGCACTGAAAAAAAATCAAATAAAGAAATCTGGACTCCACCCGCACGCTGGAAATAACAAGGCCATTTTTTTTTTTTTTACCTTTCACTGACTTTCATGACTTCCTCGATGTTGGAGAACAAGAAGTGCATGTCAGATTGGCTGAGCGTGTTGACTAAATCGGGGTTGCGAAGAAAGTGCGTCTCCAAAATCTCCAAGCTTTTGTAGTAGGAGGCCTCTGAGGTAACCAGCTCAAACATGGCCTGGAGGGATAAGCAGAGCAGTATGAATGCTGGACTCTCACTGAGCAGTAGATAAAATGACACCAAAGTCTAAATTCACACGTGATGGTGAGGCATATATTATGTGTTTTCATTTAACTGACTAAACTGACCTAATTTTCTGAGCGAAATAAGAGAGATATTTTATTTTCTTTGCATCTAATCTTAACATCAAAGTCTGAATAAATATGCATTTCAGTCTTGACCTGTCAAAGAAAAGTATTCTGTAGGTAATAAAGCGATTGCCTCGTTCAATCTTCATGACTTTAATGAACTAATGATTTGGCTCAATAGTCAACGACTGTGAATCTACTTATTTTGTGAAATTGACCTGTAACTAAGCAATAAAAATGGTGTCTTAACTTGTATCCAATTGTACGTTTCTTCACAAAGCAGTTAACAATACAGACAGTTTGGTTATTTCAGTGGGTTCATCCCAGATCCAGAGTTTGTCAGAATATTTAACTAAATATCGAGATCATTCGTGACCTTTTTACCTTATGGATTAAAACACAAGTACATTCCTTTGCCAGGAGTTGCTTGTCAAAGTTGTCGTTCTGTACTCCAAAGAGTTTCCCACCCACGTGCTTGTGGCTATTTAGACAAATATTCTCCCACTCTTACAGACAAGGGCACACTCACACAAGCATGGATGCCCGGAAGTCATTTGCAAACAATACACAAACCAATTTATGACAGGCGTGGCCTGGTACTGTCAAACAGGTTATGAATTATTTTAAAGACTGTCTGTTTGAATTGAATTAAGTCTTAAAATCAGTCGTAACTCAGATATCTTCAATGCTACTCAAGCTCAATGTCAGGAGGTTTTGGATCTTTTATCCTATGTGATGGGTGTGTCTCCACTTTTGAGCAAATGCCATTGATGAATTGGGGTTTTGAAATTATTTCAGAGGGTCAACAATTTCTCCTTTTTTGAAAACTGGACATGTGCCAGGTGCCAGTAATGTGATGGTTAATTCCGCGACCCCACTTTGAAGAGGCAGTATGGACAATAAATGAACGGATGACACTAAACTGCGCCGGTGGTCTGTGTGTGTTGTTGGAAAGCACACCGAATCAGACACAACAAATAACTTTTATTGATTCCTTGGGACTCACGATGATGCTTACCTCTTGCATTATGATTTCGTTCTGTGACAACTGGCTGAGGAGGCCGCTGGCCTGCACCACTTCCAGGTTTTGCCACAGGCTTAACGACTGAGCGCTGTTCCTCAGCTGGAGCTGCAAGGCGGGTGGAGACGTCACACCGCTGTCCGCGGCCCCCGTCCCTGTCCTGTGTCCGGGGCAACGGCTCTCCAGCTGCCGCCGCTGCTCGATCTCCTGCTGCTTGGAGGTGTCTCGGTACTCCTGGTACAGAAAGGCTGAGGGGCCAAAATTCAACGATTGTCCATTAGATTCACTTTAATTTAATATAGACTTTAATAGACTTCAATAATTTCCCTATGGGATTATTAAAGTATTTCTGATTCTGATTCTGATTCTGAAGATTTGCTATCAGGCTGGGGCATGTCCCAGCAGACACCGGGAGAGTGGCTGGGCACACCCTGGACACGTCAACTGTCCACCACGAGGCCAAACACACCACTCTTATGGTCAATTTTACGATTTTTCCCCCTTTTTTCTTCAGTATCTGATCCAAGAACTAGCAGATGAAATGTTATACGCAGCTTCAAACTGGCCCAGCTGCCGCCTAGTATGATTGAGATCCATAATTAGTAACCCATTTAACAAACAAAGACAAAAAATTGAGCATTTTTGATAAAAAATATTCATGACCAGGCCTCTTTGACAGGCGTTTACGTTTTAGCTATGTGGTATCTATTCTTCTATTCAATTCACCTTCGTGATACACTAGAAGTGAATACATCAGTGGATTGATGGCATACGTTATATTCAAAGACAAAGTATAGAGAAAGAATGCGTACTTAGATTCACTGATTTTAAACACCTAAACTACCGTACACATCTATTAATATGACATAAGGAACGTGGACCCTCAATGCTCAATTGAGCAAGAAATTAAATCCGAGTAAGTCATTAAACTGTTTGGGCTGTGGGCCCTCTGGACGCAATTCCAAAAATTTAGAATTTAAAAACTGTTCTTGGTGTTCGCTGCCTTGCCTTGACAGCGAGGCATGAAACAGTTTGTGTGGCAGCTGATGCCAGCTAGGACAGAAGGGCAGAAGTCTGCCTTGAAAAACCGTTTGTGATGCAATGAGTGAAGAGGTGGGAGAGCTGCTCAGATATTCTACCTCTCACTATGTTTTAGGTGGGTGAAAGTTTGCAGATGTATAAAGAGTCTTTGAACAAAGGGGGTCTGTTGCATAATCTTCCACAGTCATATACTGCAGATTGCATTGGTGGGCGTGCAATTACATAAGAGAGCGTGAAAGACAGAGATACAGAGCGAAAAATGCACAGGCACAGGAGACAGTACATATATATTTGCCTTGTACTGTTGAATTTGCCTGACTTCTCGATTTTAGGCTTTATTTCTCTTTTCATTCGAACAGTTCTGTAGGTAAACTGGCCCCCTGAACTTTTCCCAGTAAGTGTCTATTTCCAAAAGCCCAGAGAGGGACTTTTAAGATGGCATTTAAACTATACACATCTGTAGTTGGTCAAGAGCCATTGACTCACATGCTCAGTGCAAAATCATTTTAAACATATCTAACTGACAAAGTAAAAAAAGAGCAAAGTACAAAAGAGCAAAGTAGATTGGTGTCTTAAGGTATGAAACGTCAGTAAGAAAATGAGTCAAACAGAATGATTGCTGAAGCCAGCAGGGACAGCGTGCCACCTCTTTGTGGGCCATCTGTATGGCTTTCAGCGTACGCAGCAGCAAAATATCGTGCTGCAAATGTGTTCGTAAGAGGCAAAGGAATACTGTGAACTGCACCGATATACTAGATACCGTCCACAGACATATTATTCCACCCACAGATAAGCCAGTGGAATGATACACCCTTTGACCAACTTACGTATGCTCTTGATGATTTTGAGGCTGTTGGGTTTGACCTGTGACCCCTCTCCATTGCTCTGCAACCTGAAAACAGAAAAATC